AAACCCACAACCTGAAATAAAGAGACTTAACATGCAAGCACACGGTCAGTAAATCGGATGCAGCGTACCTACAAACGATGCGCCGGTTCTGCCTACGTTCCCTGCAGGACCAGTCGTCGCTTCGGTAGTGGTCCCGAGTGGCCTCGCTCATGGCTCACTAAGCCTGCCTGACTCAGGCACTCGCGACCGCATGTGCTACAGCACCATGCGCTTGGTGTCGATGGAGTACAACCCATCGGCATGGGAGCGTACGCATTGTGCTTCTATTCCGCGTGTAATAGTGCCTTCTCTTGCACCTAGGCAACCGCCCTTTTGATCAGTCCATGAAATTCGCATCGATCAGCTTTGCCTTGGATTTGCAACAGTTGAAATCAAAATTAGTTTGTCATAAAGTCACCATGCTTATGTCCCGGTAACGTTCTTTTCGGTTTGCCAAAGTGCCGCATTCCTGCATTAAGTTGGCCGTACAAAAGGGGGATGAGTATCCTCGTCGAATTCATTCGGTATGCACATATACATGGATTGGCGTCTTCCGTGTTCAATGGCAGTTCCAATGTAACATATGCACATGCGCTTATCCAGATTCAAATACGAACTTCCACAAACTGGATAGAGACACATCAGACCTCATTAACAATAGTACTAACAACGTATAGGGGTATCACTTGGAGGTCAGGCTAACAGCAAATTGCATATGCATGAGAATAAGTATGCAAGACGAATTGTTGGCGTTTTCGTTAACATTTAGACGTGATAGCCTTAAATCTTGGGCATGCATAGTTGTACGAAACCGATATAGGAATAGTGGCGCAACTGCCATCAGTACGGTAACCAGGTAGAATGATTAATAAACAATGATACAGTAAAACAGTGAGTACTTAGGTGTTGCCTCCTATTTGCACAGTCTGTCTTGCGTAGCTGATGTGGGAGATCGCACAGCATGCGAATGCGAATGGATGTTCACTTCAGTCACTCCGTGTCGCCGATCGATCCGATCATCTGCTGCCCGAGGTACGACTGTTGAGCAACCTTAAGCATTGACAAATGTCAATACCACATATTCGCCGTTTACGACCCCATTGGAGAGACAACTAACGCCATTCCACATCAACTAAGTCCCGATGTTCACTGTCAAACATGCGGCTTTCTAAACAGTGTACGCACTGTTTTGCAAATGTTCAAGACGTAGCATAGCTGTCATTCAAGTTTGTACCTACCGCAGTGTACTTTGCTGCGTCCATAAGCTACTTGGTAACGATCTCCATCGTACGTCTCGGGTGCAGCCATTCAGTGCTTGTAAAACGATTGTCGCTATGCGCCGATTCATTTCCGATGTAATATACTAAGACACTGACGTACCATTACTATTGGCGTTACATTTCAGTCTATCCAGAAGACTGGCCATGTTCAATTCAACTTCTGGTTAGCGTCTCTGCGAATCCGCGTCTTCAATCCGCCTGGTAGTTGCGTTTTCACAAGCCTCGGTAAATTCAATATGGCTGATGAACAACGAGAAATAAAGCCATGCTCACTCATCGTTCATTGCCAGGCTTGTTCACCTGGAGCAGATTATCCCGGGTAAATTTTCTATGTGGTCACATGAGGGACAATCGTTGAGCATTGTGTGCTCCAAATGTCAAACTTTACACTTGTGCGTATTGTAAGCAGCCAAGCGCTGGTAACCCTTGGGTTCACACGTATCTACCGAACTGGAAACACTCAATAATTTGTCACCCTAGCATTAATCCATATCAACAGCACAGTTCGCTCGGAAACCGCGTGCACCTCAAATACGACTGAGCATATGGATAGACTGAACCTTTATCCAGTGATATATATATATATATATATATATATATATATATATATATATATATATATATATATATATAATCTTCGATGCCTCTCCACTGATTGCTTCCAAATGTTGATACAACGTTGCTTACGATCACTATCAGTCAACCAAACGTTTTATTTTATAGATGTTAATGTACTACATTCGCTAGAGACGAGTTATTTCATATTTTGCACTACTTATGAGTAGATGGATAGTTTCAGATATTTTCAGTTGCCTGATTGCTAGGTTACTGTTAAAATTGAACTGTGGCGATTACATGGCGTTTTTAGCATTTTCTTTTTAACGCTTTTTCTTTCTTTCAGTTCAACCGACAGCGAAATTACGCTGTAGTTTGAGTATCCTTTGAATACAACCATCACTTTGGTAATTTTAATGTTGCGAATTGTTTGCTAGTTCGTGCTTTTCCATATTCCATTGTTTTGCAATTTCATAGGCTGTCTTAGCATTTTGCCTTCTTTTACAGCGCTATCGATGTGTCTTGGTTCACCGAAGTAATGTCTCGCAGTAGAACAAGTTCAAGCCGTTATACTTGAGCATCAGAAGCAATGCGGCGAGCAGGAGAAACTCCACTGAGTGGCTCAGATACGTGCGGTGCGACATGTAGCCAAATTCGAGGAGGCAAGATAACGAAAATGATTATGTTCTGCAACTTCAGATATGCTTCCTGCCCAAGAGAATGAACGCGGCAGACGTACAGTGGATGATAGTCGTCAAGGAGAAACAGCAGATCAGTGTCAAACACGACCACGTGCACAGCAATCGCACAATTACAATCGCCTAGCATTCCGGTACAACCCAGCTGAGTATTATGGTTTGAATCAGCATGCACTCTTGGCACCATGACTGCAAAGCGCTGAAATTTAATGGGGAAACGAAAGGAATGTACCGAGTTGCAGGAAAAATTAAGCTTCCTCAAATGGAAGAACCGCCAGAGCCATTGAAAACTTGATTTGCCGGAGATACTGCGGAATCAACACATTTCCTCTCTAATATCAGGAAATACAACTCAAGCTTCCAAATCACGTCTTTCGGTGCAGAAATCGTAAAAGCTCCATCTATGCCCACGTTCAAAGTAAAAATTTGCCATAAAGCCGGATCGCTGATTCCTTTTCCAGGTGATCAACATAGATCCCTACAAATGTACTTCATCGGCGATGACAAGGATCAATTAGATGCGCGCTGCGGAATATCTACCAGCATAAGAATGTCCATCGTTTCCCATTTGCAAGGACTCCTTCACCAAAAAAAAGTTATTGCGTTTGTTTAAACAAGCCACTGACATGATAACATCTGATACACACAAGATTGTTATTCATGCTGACAAAACGCCAACTGGAGAACATGTGCGAAGATTCAATGCTCCAACTATAGACGAAGTTGCAATCGTTATAGTCGGAGATCAATTCCAACCGAGAGATATTGTTCTTCATCGGAGAAACGATCAGCTGATAAACGTTGCCGAAACTCAGATGCCACGGTGCTCTGAAATATGCTATAATTTGTTGGCATGGTGCTGATGAATATCACTAACGTCAAAATGATAAATCCAGTGGGTGGCGAAGATACACATAAGAAATGCAGCGTAATGAACTTTTATTCATACCGATTAATGATTCGAGAGAATGAAGACAATCAAATTCTGTAACGCCGTCAGTTGTTCCACCAATCCATCGTCGATATGTACGCCAAAATCCGAACGGAACGTCTGTTATTCGTTCGCATAAATCAGACCAAACTTCACCTTGAAAAATACGTTCATTTGTGAGATCCAGTCGTGAATGACGGCAAAGCAGCTGAAGTTTGGAGACGCACAATTTTGCCCTCTTCATATACAAGCAGCCTGCGTCATATGCATGAGTACGCTCAAGATGCAGTTGCGTATATTCGTCATTACGAGCATCCCGAACTATTCATTACATTCACATGCAATCCAAAATGGGACGATATACAACAGCTCTTAATCCCTGAGCAGTCACCGGTGGATAGACATGACATCACAGCCCGTGTGTTTTCAGACAGAAGTTGAAATTGCTGATGAAATTTTTGGTAAAACACGAGGCGTTTGGGTCGGTGCGTTGTTGGATGTACTCAGTGGAACGGTAAAAGAGAGGACTGCTACAGGCACATATATTAATATGGCTCTACAACAAAATCACTTCCAACGAAATCGACGACGTAATATACGCTGAAATACCCCATCCTGACTTCGATAAGGAGTTGGATGAAGTTGTGACAAAAAATATGATACAAGGACCTTGCGGTTCCCTGAATCCCAACTTACTATGCATGATAGACGGGAAACTACTCAAAGCGATATCCTTGAGATTTAAGAATTTAAGATAAGAGAAAATAAGGCGATACAAACAACAGAGTATGAGGAGAGCATACAGAAAACTGTTAAAAATATGGCGTGAATGGCTCGATTGACCGACAGATGCAACAGTGCATAGCACAACGTCCTATCTTCACTAATCGATCAAGTGGCGTGAAAGGTCGGTCGGATTCACAGCTCCAAGTGGACTAAATGCCCACAGACGATCAGTAGACATGACGGGGCAGAAAGTGCTCCACCATGGCGCCATTGATAGCGATGACCAGACTACAGGGTACGAAGGGCAACATGGCCTAGGCCGTGTCATAGACTAAAATGACGAAAAAGTAAAATCAGATCCAACTGCATGAAATGAAAGAATCGAACGGAGATTGAGTGGGAAAATTGGTTCTGAGACTCTCAAGAAGCAACCAAGATGAGCAAACCCACCGAGGAACCAATTAACATACGGACATACGCGGAAAGTGACCGTTATCCATGGTATCACAGCCTCACTTCTCATTAGAAAGACGGGTCAAATGATGTGCGCGCTGATAGGGGCAGTATTGAGATGGCAGACGGAAGCTGCAGTGGAACGAACCCGATGGTATTTTGCCTGTAATGAACGACCGCATCAATGTGATTAAGTGATAGCACCATACTGAGAAGAACTCGCTTCTACCGAGGACACATCAAGCGCAATTGTTTATTGACGAGATTCCTTTACATGTGTTTAAGCGGCGGTGAAACTTGTATCCTGATGAACGCGATGCTGCGTAAGTGTGAACACTCTGGCGAAGCACGATGGCAAAATGGTATCTTGTAAATCGATCACAAAAATGAGGGAAATGTGACAGTACACAGCAAAAGAAGGAAACTCACGAGTTGCAAATCCGGTTGGATTGGTTTCAGGATGTCAGTCACGCGCACAGAAGGACTCACAAAATCGGTCTCAGTGCCAACCGAAGTGAGGTTTTTCTCCGCCGACTCAATTAATTCTTGCCACTGAGTGGACAAGCTGGCGATCGCTTGCTGTGAAAGTGAGGAATGGTTTTTGTTTATTGCAGCAATGTTTACTAGGGAATGCTCAAGAGCTGGAGCGTCCTCCTCCGGAGCATGTTCCGTGTCGACCTCGTCTCCGTCCACAGAAGACAACTCGGCAGAATCCCACGGTTCGGGTTCACTCAGTTTTTGCCGTATTCGTGAAGTTAATTTATCCAAGGCATCGGGGGTATTCACATGTTTCGCCTCGGGTTCAGGTGCGGACACAAGTCCTTGGTAAGCGGCCATATTTTGATCCTCAGATGTAATCGGTCTCGTCTCAACGCTAGAGATTACACTGCTCAGCGTCACTGTGTGATTCATTATGCCGACGGAGAGAATTTCGGGAGGTAGTATAGACTCTAGCTCGGTGTCTGATACAGCCTCGACGGTTACTTCACCCAACAAATCGAGCACCGCAGAAACCTTAGCGGAGATTTTCGGTTTGCGAACTTTGTCGCCAGAGACAGTACGGGGGGAGCGGGAACTAGGTGATTTGTGGCGTTTGTTATCCGTGGTCCGAACAGGTGAGCGGCGTGCACCAGGGTGCTCGCGTTCCGGATCACTAACGGATCGACCTCTAAGTTTGTCATCTTTGGACTCCTTGGCAGGAGATTTGGATCGCGACTGCTGGAGAGGGAGAGAACAACATCCATGCGATAAGGCTAAGCATCGGTCAGTGGCATAATTGCATAAAAGTGTAACACAAGGAACTGAAATGTGAAACCCACTACAACCGGTGATGGGACCGGTAAGGAAGGGATCACTACCATATATCAGTTAACAACTTAGACGAAGAGCGCAACGCCAAGCACAGCTCAGCCCGAATAACTGTAAAAGGACCCCGATCGTCTCCCACGTGATCTGTAGTGGTTGATGTCAGTCGACCCTATCAAGTCGTTATTCAGGAGACAAGGGGGAACGGTGGTGATGGGTATATGTACACTTCATAGTTGCCTTTTATGCTAAAAAATTGCTATCACTCCTGCAGCCGACCAATAGCCTTAAGAATCCCAAGCCTGTCTTGTAATCCGAGGGCGCGAGCTCGAATCTGCGTAGGGGATCGGGCGACCCACGCAGTATCCTTAGACCACACGCCAGTGGCGGTGGTTGTGCGGCAGCAAAGCGTCGGTACTGCGTACCGGCGTACCGCTGGTAATTGACTGATTTTACATAGGGCCCGTATTTCCTTTCTTCTATCCATTAGAGTTACGCGACTGTGGTTGTATAATAATGGGACATTGGCGTAGAACACCGTTGTACTGCTGTTCACTGGTCCAAGCTCTAACCAGGAGGTACGGAATACTAAAGTTGTTTGTACTGTAATTATCGACCATCGTGACAGATCTCAAGGGACCCATATAAACGACCCGGTATACTTAGACGTCGGAGGTAAGCACATCGCCGCACTAAGTAAGATATGCAGACTCGTTGCAACGAATCGGATGGAGTTCACATAGCAGTTGGGCAAGCAATAGGGCAGTGTGATTGTGTTGAGTGCTTATAATTGGTATATTCTCAACTAGGTGAGGCAAAGCCCAGCTAAGCTGGTCCGATCATAGGTACAAAGGAAATGCAGAATAGTTTTACAAAGTCGATGCACAAAAACACTTCGGGTTCCAATTACATTGATTCTTGCGCCTTTGATTGGATTACAAAATTCGTCGGAATCTACGAGAATTGCAAAACTGCAGATACGTTTAGGTGGATGGTTAAGAAAAGAAAACAAATAACAAACTTCTTCGGGTTTTTGGAGCACCTGCCGTGTGTCTTGGATTGCGACGCGCAATCTCACTAGTGGCGGCAGTTGACTTGGAAGTCAGCCTCTGCCAATACGGTCACTGGGACCGTCACCGAAGTGGAGGGTTTTCGGTGTGGCTCTCTCCTATCCCTGCACTCCACGACCGACGGTTTCGTCTTTGTTTAGACTCATCAGGTAGAGATAGCTGAGCTAGGAGTGGAACCCGAGGCATAGTGCTTGGCGGCTATCGCCATGATCACTAGGCCAATGTGTTCCGCGAGCAGTGTTTGACACAGCGGTTAGAAGTAGATTTTCGGGTTTTTTGGAGCACCCGCCGTGTGTCTTGGATTGCGACGCGCAATCTCACTAGTGTCGGCGGTTGACTTGGAAGTCAGCCTCTGCCAATACGGTCACTGGGACCGTCACCGAAGTGGAGGGTTTCGGTGTGGCTCTCTCCTATCCCAGCACTCCACGACCGACGGTGAGGTGAGTGACAATATGTACGCGGAAAAATTTAATTTAAAATTCCATAACATTGGTATATAACAATAAGTTATAAATAGTGAAAGTGTGTAAGCAGACATGATAATACGGCAGACGGTGAAACTGAGAATTGTCTCCACCATGAAACAAAACAATTAGAATTAATGACGTATCTCATACAAGAGGTAAGCTACGAGAACACATGGCAAGTGGAATTGCGTACACAAATTTAGTGGGTTAGTTGCGGCCATCAACAATCCACCCTTTCAGTGGGTCCATATGTCTTGCAGGCACTCATGTCTTTCACCTAGCTGTGTATTATGTAGAAAGCACTATATGAAGGCTGAAAAAGCTTGCTTATCCAACGTACCAAAGTGCTCATGTTTTTCAAATACTATCAGTACGCCTTCAAGCTAAGTGGACCGTAAGAAGCAGTGCAGCTGAAGAAAAAATCGGATGCCGTCGCATGCACGTCATGTGTGAAACGTGCTGAATGTCATCCTAGATAGACGGAAGCATACGAAGTACAAATTGAGTCACAGTTGATTTGAGTTACAGGGCATATGCGACATGTGCTACGACCTAAAGTGCATGGACAACACGAATAGGATTTACCAAAACAGCCTTCGCATGCTTTGGGTGCCCAGGCCCAGCTTAAGCACTTGGTCTGAATAGATTACCTCTCGCCTCTTCGTCTCAATAATACGACCAATGGTGGAGTATGGCTCTCCCGCGTATTATCCTATCACCCGGAGCGAGGTAGAAAAGCTTGAGCGAGTGCAGCATGTAGCCACCAGGCTGATTCCCAACTTACGAGGTGTGCCGTACGAAGACCGGTGTAAGAAACTAGGGCTGTACACCCTAGCTTATTGTCGACTGAGGGTTGACCTCATCATGACGCACCGTATATTACATCTGGGTGATTACCCTAGGTTGAGACCACTGCTTTATCTGTGCACACCAAGTAGCACACGAGGACACCGGTATAAGCTTGTCGTACCGGATTTGAAGCCGGTCGCTCACCAACTCTGTTTCGAACGCAGAGTGGTGAATGTATGAAACGACCTGCTGCAGCACGTAGTTGAGGCAAAGTCAGTTTCGGAATTTAAGAAATTCCTTGACAAACACCTTGCCGACGTAAAATATATTGAGCGGAACACAACATAACGGGCATTTTGCCATGAGTAAAAATTGATGCAAAATACACAGAGCAAGCGCTACTCGCTACTTCAAACCAGTAATCATTGATTTGTCCGTGTTTTCATACGTCCCCAACGAGCCATCAATCTGAGTAACGCGAATAATATAACAGTATAGACTAAAAGAAAATCAAAGATGGATCTCATTTATTCAACCTATCGATGGACAAATGTTTTCATAGGTGGGTCAGTAATTGTAGTCATATTGAAAAATGCGACAAAATAGGAAGAAGAAATGCGAGACAAATGTGTGATCTAGCAAGAAAAACGCATGCTAAGGGAACAATGTATTTTACACTCTGTCGACGAGCCCTTCTCGCCATATTTATCTGTATCATTATATTGCGAATTTCTTAAGTACTTAGATGTTATCAGGACCGTTCTCGTATACCCGTTTGTTTGTGCAACTGACACGAAACAGTTCTTTCACTTTATTAACAGTCAACTACTCTTTTAGTTGCATCTTAAATGTTCGAAGCGAAGATATACTTCTGATGGTTTGAAGCAATCTATTCCACAACGTGGGATCTTTGTGTGTAAAGCTATTGTACCGCAGAGGTGTGCGGCAACGAGGTAGTGTTGGTTTCATAGGTGAAGATTCTTGGGACACCGGTTGATAGTAACTAGCGCATGTGAGTCGATGGACAATTGTGAATAAATCAGCTTTAAGCTTCGAAGCCATAGCAGTTCGATTGTTAAGAAATGACATTTATCTTTATAAGTGAGCTTAGAGGTGCAGTTCACGATCCTTTTGGTAATCGACCTTCGTGTAGCTTTGAATGCACTCGTGTCGCATCTTCTAATGCTACTAACACTGATGGCACAGTATTCAGATAATGGGCTGGCGTACAGTTTGAATAACAGGAGATTAACATCGCTTGTTATAAAAAAGCGGCCTATCATTCCAAGAGTCTGTCATATTTTAGCCACCGTATACTCAACTTGTTCTTTGAAATTTAACGAAAATGTGTAACGGAGACTTAAGTCACATATCAATTCGAATAAATGAAGTGGGATTCCATGCAAAAACAAACATTCAATTGGAACCAAGCATCCATAGCGCATAATGTTGCATTTTGAAGTTGAAAATTTCATTTAAGATCCGAAAAACCAGCTTTCCAGGGAAATATTGGGGTCACTTTCGATCACAGACATAGAAGACGAATATTGAGAATCAGTGGGATACCAAATTTTTATATCCTCTGCGAACAAATAAGGTCTACCACGCCTTATTTCAGTGAAAATACCATTTACATGTAGCAAAAGGAGGACCGAGTACACTACTCTGTAAGATTCCACTAGTAATATCTTATTTCCGACAGATACTTCTTTATCTTGACTCTGCTTTCGACCACTGAGGCAAGCTTCTAATCAGGACAGTAATTAGCCTGAGATTCCAAAAACCGAAGTTTATGTATAAGCGTTCTGTGTGGAATTCTGTCAAAGGCATTTTGTAGGTCCAAGTGAAGTACGGTACCAGAGTCTGTCTACTTCGTTAAGTCATCAAAGAAATCTAGCTGGCAAGTAACACTCGAACGCTTTTGAAGAAAGCTGTACTACAAATGTGACAAAAGGTTGTTTGATGTTAGGAATTTAACGCTTTCATTTTTAATCAAGCGTTCCATGATTCTGGAAATTATAGCAGTGTGGTTTATGGGCCGATAGTTGTTAACGTTATGTCTAGGTCCGGTTTTATGGTGTGGTGTCACTATCGTCAATTTTCACTGATCGGGATAAAACCCAGTTGCCATTGATGTAATAAATAAGTTCAGTAGTAAGCAGGGGACATCATTCCCACCGGACTGGAGGGACTCCAACGGGACCTGGATGAATTGTAGTCTTTAAAGCTATAACTTGACGCTTGATTAACCAGTGTCAAAATCTACATTAGAGATACTTGGGGTGATCCCAAAGTACATCGTTCTCATTAGTAACAGAATAGGCAAAATAATTGTTGAAAGCTTCAGCTACAGCTGCATTAGTAACGATAAGGATACTCTTAGGCGTAATACGATGTAGCAGTGGGTTTCGTTGTGTGCGACTCCGATATTCTAGTAATCGCGTTATCACAAAAACTGGATTAGTACTTTCATGATTTCTGGCTCTTTTTCTCGAAACAAAGAATTAGCAGACTTTCATGGTTTATCAACATTTTGTGAAGCATAAATAGTACTGTAAAGTCATTAATCTGTTGAAACTGCTTGGAAAGAACTCCGATCTTACGTTCTTGCTGTTTCTCCTATGGCTGTGACTTATTTCGACTGCAAGCTAGGGCAGGCGACAGTATCTCGATGCGTCGATTTATGTTTTCATAAAATGCTTGAAACGACACCTTTGGATTAGATGACAATAAAAAATTAGTCCAGTCAGAAGTATGCACAAGGGTTGCAAAACTTCTCCAATTTATACTACCAAAATTATACACGTGCCTAAACATGGCTTTAAGAGTATATGTGGTGTTTATTTTGCAATTGACAAAATTATGGTCATTACCGTTTAGACAGTCCTCCAGTAGTTCGATAAGAGCACCTATTGGCCCAGCAGTGAATATGTGGTCGAGTGTATTATGCAATCGTGTGGGAGATTTCACGTGCGGTGTCCAGCCTCCCTCAAGCAGGCAATTCAAGATTTTGGCTTGTTTTCCTGTACCTTTGCACTCAATCCATGTAAAGTTTGGTAAGTTGAGATCTCATCCAACTACCTAGAGGACGGCGATAAATAAACACAACCGACCAACATTCTATTATTACCAAAGGATACTATTATCCAAATGGACTCATCGAGGAATACGAATTGCTCGTCACTGCATTGTGAAGCACATAAGTTGTTTATACAGTAAATGATACAGCCATCACCCCTACCATGGTTACTCTTGTCCTTTGGTACTAAGCGAATTCTTGTAGGCTGTATATACCGCTCACCCAGGACCAGCCTCAGTGATGAGAACCAGTTGGTTGACATCTTCAATTACATATCGGACCTTGGTTCCTTCGATAAAGTTGTAGGTGGAGATTTCAACCTACCAGATATCTGTTGGTCAAACTTAGTAACAAACGCGAAACATGCAGAGTTCATAACCTCCGTCATCACTGGGGGTTGGGAGCAACATGTTCTCGTGGCTACCAGGGGGAAAAATATATTAGACCTACTTTTTACCTCAGGCACCTCCCAGATAGCTACTGATGTAATTGACGGTCTCCCTGGATGTGATCACAAAATAGTCAGATTTAAACTTATAGCTGAGTTGTCGCATGTGAGGTTTGCGATGGTTCCACACTTCCTGCGAAATATTAATTGGGTAGATTTCTCAGCTTTGCTTAGGATCCAAAATTGGGACCATTTCTTTCTTTCGTCTGATATTAAGGGAGCCTCCGATATCTTCTATGACAATGTGGCTATGTGCTTAAGCATACTTGCCTCCTGTGATAACACGAGAGTCTCTTCTAAATACGCTAATAATGCAAAGGACAAGCGGAAAATTCGAGTGCTAACTCGAACATTTGAACGTACTCATGACTTTAGTGTATTATTGAGACTCCAACGCCTTATAATTGAGATGGACATGAAACATCGAACTCGTCTCATGCAGGAAGAACGACGGGCTGTAAATAGTAGTAATACAAGTCAACTGGTGACTGCATTACTGAGGAAAAGGAGAGGTGGCAAAACTGACCTACCCTCCCACATCGTCATGCCTGAAGGTGATTGCATTGATTCCCCAATCGCCATGGCGGAAGCCTTTAACTCATACTTTGCTAGATCCTTTAATGTTGAAAAAGAAACCCTGGATTTGTCAACCTCATTTCACTTCTCTGAACAAGTCCCAGCGATCGAGCTTAGTGTTGCTACTATAAAACCTATGATTACTTGTCTACGACCATCCTACAGACCTGGCCCCGATGGGATCTCTTCTGCTTTAATCAAACACGGTGGAGATGATATCCCTCTTATAGTATTAAATATCTTCTCTTTGTCTCTCCAGTCTGGTCAATACCCCGAACGTTGGAAAACGGCTACGGTCATACCGAGACATAAGTCCGGGTCGAAAACTGACATCCGGAACTACCGCCCCATTAGTCACACAGCCATTCTCTCACGCATGCTAGAGAGAATTGTTAAGGAACATTTGGTTTCGTTCCTAATATCGCACAAACTTCTCTCACCTTCACAGCATGGCTTTCTGAAATCTCGCTCGTGTGTTACCTGTCAAGTTGACTTCCTTAACCATCTAACTGAAGCAATTGACTCAGGTCTTCAGTGCATTGTTATCTTCCTTGACATGCAAAAGGCTTTTGACAGAGTCCCACACAAAAAGCTGTTATGTAAATTAAGTAAGTACGGTGTTACAAACGCGCTTTACTCTTGGATCCAATCTTACCTTGTAGGACGGTCGCAAGTTGTGGATATCAATGGTTACATCTCTTCACCACGTCCGGTTACCAGTGGAGTGGTGCAGGGCAGTGTCTTAAGCCCGTTGCTCTTCCTACTGTATATAAATGACCTGGTTTCTGTCATACAATTTGGGAAGCCTTATTTATTTGCTGATGATCTAAAGGTGGTCTACACGTTCCCAGGTTCTCAGCGTACCGCTGAAGTTAACAATATCCAAAGCGACTTGGAAGCCATTGAGAGATGGGCTGATATGTGGCAGATGACATTTGCAACATCGAAGTGTAGTATTCTATCCTATGGATGTCAGATAGCAGCAGAAGTGTTCAGGCTTCATGATGAAGTCATTCCCATCAGCCAGTCTGTTCGTGACTTAGGTTTAAGATATTCTAGTTCGTTAAACTTTAGCGAACATACAAATCATATAGTGAAAAAGGCTAAGCAGTCGGTCGGGCTCATATGCCACCTGCTAACCTTGAG